TGACGATCTCCCTTGGTCTCAGGAATTGGAGTATGTGCATTGCTAATTCTTGAGGCATCTCACCCCAAAAGTTGATATTCCTCCTCTTGCGAAGCTCCTTTACACGGACTATCGGCTTCGAGAAATAATCCTCAAATACACCGGCCATCCCTGATGTGACAGCGGACATTGCTTCTTTTGTGCCCGCCCGCATGTCTGCCGGTAAAGGTACACTTTTCGGCATAGGTGAAGCATGACCAGCAAGCTCACTGTCCAGACATCGAATCCGAGTTCCGGAATCGAAGTTCTGATTCTCTGGACCAGGAGTACTTGCTACTGAAGTTGGTGCGGTCGAGAAAGCACCGGAACGGGTGGAAGAATACGAGTTCCCATACGAATGGCCGTGTCTGGAGTTGGAGGATGATAAGGATACGCAGGACATTGAACCTTTGCTTCCACCTGGATAGGAAGTGGGAGGAGCTCGGCGCATCGAAGCCAGCGACTGAGAGGATGACATCCTTTGCAGGCTCTGCAAGAGACGCCTGCGACCCTTGAGCTTGGGTGGCTGCTCGAACGGAAGCGGTCCCCCTGGCAGTGGTGATCCATTTGTGCTGATAGAGGTCATCGTCCCAGACGATTCGGTCATCTCGTCCCAAATCACCTGAGATATCTTGTAGAGCTCCGATAACGAAGATGTGTTTAATGAAGTGGTCCGGTCAGCCTTGGCACCCTTTGCACCTGTAGCTGCTGGAGCTCCGATGTATTCACTGCCGGCCAATCGCTTCTCTTAGCGCAGTTGCGAAGCTCGCAATGTGTTCGTCTGTCAACGAGCGTTTCTCGCCAACGTTGAAAGCCGTTGAGTACTCGCTGCTTACAGTGTGGGCCTGGCGGGGTAAAAGCGGGTCAGCCGTGCATCCGTCTGACAGACTCAAGAATGGGCACATGAAAGCAAAACAGGCACACTCACAACTCAACGGGGGCCCATGAGCGATTGGGAGATGCCAGCAGGCGAAATCACAAGATCTTCGCTGTCCTTTATCTCAGCCTTGGGTGTGTTGGTAGCTGTCTCGCGGTCATGCCGGGCTTGGCGTTTCCGTTATCGTCTATCGCTATCGATAAAGGGTGCAGATGACCCCGCAGAAGGACGTGGTGAATTGGGAAGATGACCAAAAAAGCACACGACGCAGTCCCTTTGATCGGCAATGACCCGAATGGAGGGAACTTGAATAACGACGGAGGGTTTGCAGCAGGAGGAAAAGAAGAAGAAGAAGAAGAAGAAGCAGAGCTGAGATTCGAGAGAGCTGACTACGGATTGCGGGTAAAATGGGATGCCAAGTCTCACTAGGTAAAGTAGAGTGGTGGAGCTTCCCTGCAAGGGCCTGGAACGAGGCTGCATTGTCTAAGATAGGTACTTGCTGCCAAGGTCACCGATAGCTTCTGGCTACTTGCATGCATTGCCATCTTCAAACTACAAGTTTGACGCTGTTCGAAAGAAGAGCCTTGCCTCCGACTTCTGCAAGACTCGTTGCATCTTGATAATCTACCTGCACCTGCTTGGCTGAAAGCATTCCCTCCTGTATCACCCCAGATACACTCAAATAAGATCGACGCATTCGCTAGAATGGGGTCTTGTGGTGTGGGTGTGGAAGTAGATTCACCGAGCGGGGTACTCCCCCACTTCAGTACTGCATCGTCCACTAAGAGAGGCAAAGCACGCGAGGACACATCGACTTTGCCCTGATTCAGCGGCTCGTGCGGTATTTATGTATGTGGTGGGGCCAATCATTGGCGTTCCATTTGCCATGGGCCTCTCCGCATGCAGATCCTAGCTGGCGACGCAGCGAGGCTGTGGATCCCTTCAAAAGACCCTGAGTTGCCTGGCAAATTTTATTGGAGCCTCAAAGACCCTGAGAAGTGGCATACTTCCCAGAACATGCTCTGGCCCGCAAGGCGCAGAGAAGAGAGCGAATAAGAGACCGACCGGCGGCAGTGGTTTACCCGGAGGATTGGTCGTTATGTGGGGAAGACGTACTAATTGAATTGCTTTGGTTCTGCCGAAGTGGCACCGAAATTTCTGAGTACGGTCTACGTAAGGACTTTCATACCAGAATAGACTTTGCCAACCTATGCATGTTAGGTATTTGAGGACTTGCTAAGTGGGTACGAGTAGACGATCAAAAGAAAGTAGAGAACCATGGCAACTTTGACAATAAAACTGATTTGAACGTAACATCCCTGCAGGTCTGATCTTGGATCTTGCGTCAAAGGATAGGAGACGTCAACCTCTCCCCACCCTCCCCACCGGACTCCAACCTGCTAATTTTTCCCTCCTTCGCCACCTGCCCATTCCGCCAAGGCGATGTCGACTTCGTCAGCCCGACCCCATTCGAATCGCCAGAGATCTGGTCGGAAGGGTACTTGATGAGCCATTTGAGGCCTTAGATCGCGTACTTGTATGCTCGACGGAGTGCTGGGCAGGTAGGCGCTGACGATGACGATGGGGGTTCCGAGAAAGGCCCAGATGGCCGGGTAGGTGTTTACCCAGCTGCCGTCTGTGGGGAAGATGCTGCTGACGGCGATGACGCGGACGATACTGGTTATGCAGACGCTGAGGGGGTGGGGCGTCAAAGCGGTAGTCATTGAGGGTCTTTGGATTTGGAATCTGTGGTGAGGGGATGATGGTTCGCGCTTCTTTCGTCTCCATTTGGGACTGTAAGGAAGTGTTTGATACTTACAGTCTTCCTGGGCGAGAACATACCCGCAAGCTGGATTTTATGTATCACGGAGCTTTGCAACCGCCACAGAAACGGGATGGGCAAACCTGAAGTACAAAAATCCGTAATGGAGTTCAGCACACCAATGGCGATGAGCTCGGCATTGAGATTGACGCAACGGGGCTCGATACTCGAATCCCAATCTGAGCGTATTGGTAAACATTGGAAGATGACGACGAGAGTACCCGCAATAGTTTAGCACAAGGTGAAAGCGGCAACGGTCCAGAGGACGATCTTAAACTTTTGACTTGGGAAAATAGCGGTGGTAGAGAAGGAAAATAGAGAACTCAACGGTGATCATCGCCGGGTCGTAGAGGACTTCGGAGGCTGTTTCGAGGTTCGCGGTTGACACACTGGGTGTTTGAGTGTGATTGAGTGACGTCCCAATCCGAAGTGGACCAAGAGTAGATTTGAGGTTGCGTAGACGGCTGAGAGATGGGGGCACATTTTAGCACTTAATGCTGCTTCAAAGATCTCGTGGGTGCGCTCTTACCAACACGACAAGCATCATCCTATCATCCGCTCTCAAAGGAGTTTTGTTCAGTCTCCTAGCGAACAATCTGAACCCAACCGCGATGAGCGTAAGGCAAAGGCGTGTTGCAGCGGCGGCGATGACATTTGCACGCCGCTCCTTTGAGGCGTGAGCAAGTAGATATTGCATTTCGCTATGCGTTAGACTGGCCATCTTTACAAGAGCGGTAGCTTAGTTCAGATACGCTGAGAAAGTAGTCAAAGAAAGGTGCATCTCAGAATTATTTTTGAAAGTTCACCTGGTCTGCGCCCTTCAACTCATTGTAATATAGGACACATAAGACTCTACGCCGTGCCTCATGCAAGCCATCGTGAAATCGTCAGCAAAGACGCGGAAGGGTAGGATCCAGTCTATCGTTGACTTGACAATGTTTTTGAAGAATTTAGCCTCTCGCTTAGACGTGGAGAAATACATATGCTGCAGTCATGAAAATGCATAATCGATTATGAAGTTTTTTGACTACAGAGTGCTGCATGTTGCGGGACTGCGCCCAGAGGATACCGCTGTGAAGATTCGATGAGACCGCTTGAATGGGGCGGACATCGTCTTTTGAGAGACGAGATCTTGACCACTTTGGAGATGAAATCTTTTTGGAAAGAGTAGCGTTTTGACGGGAGATCCAAGATGCCTCTGGGCTCATGTTGATCTTCAATAGCGGAGATGGAGGAGCTGATGTATATCCATGCTCTCAGGAATTAGACCTGATTAGACATCCAGCCTAGCATCGAAAGAATGTGGGGGAAAAGATCAGCGAGAGAAAGTATTGGGGAAGGCGCAAAAGAGAAGTGTATGCATCCTAGCCTTCTCCTGAGAAGGCATACAATAGTACCTGCGGTCACGATCCTATTTGGCTCAGACCATCATAGGTCTCTCTACAAAGACTGAATATTGTCCGAGAACGCGTCTCAACGAGCTGGATTGTCACGGGTTGGATCCAGAAGGATGGTAGCTCGATAACAAGATCGCCAGCCTTGCACCATCTTATCAGGCTCTAGTCAGTCGGTTCGGCATAGTATGATATGGCAGACAGATAGAACAGTCAATACCTTGTACCGTTACTGATATTGGGATCCTACCGTGTCATGAATCACGTGCGCTCTTTTGGAAATCTCAATGTCATGAAGCAAACCTGAGCATGTTCAAATGCTGGGAAGAGATACGTAATAAAGAATTCTGAAGCTTGTGGATGGTTTCATAAGACAGGCCAGCCTCAAGCAAATTAGCGAGCTGTGATGGATCTGGACCCCGACCTCAGCGAATTTTGCCGTAGGCTAGAGATTCGAGGCAATAAGTGTGCCTTGGTCATTGTGATGGGGACGATGAGTTGAAATTGCGTATGAGGGATACTGATTGAGCCACATGGTACGGAGATGGTGGGTCTCGACGCTCTTCGCGCCATGATTGGAACCTACACGCTGGCATTATGGCTACGGAACATCATTCGATCCTAATGAAAGTGTACACGAGAGATCACAGTGCCCGCAGTGGAGCCATGAGATGTAAGACGTAAAGTAGGTCGGACGTGTCCACGATTGGGAACTTCGGCGTGAACACAAGTCGGAACCCTTGCTTTCTAGTAGGTAGATCCTCATTCATCATCATATTTGCAAAGCAGGATGAGTGAATGCTGGCGCCAAAGAAAGAGCAGATGTCTTGGGTCAAGGTTAATGAAATAGTAGCTCCGGAGGTAGTCATGGTACATCTGATAATCGAATTCATTGCTCCATTCCAACACAAAAAACTTCGTAAGCGCGATGATTGCACTCGTTGATAGCGCCGATCCTTTGCTCAAACTGTGTCAACTTTCTCCAAAAATTCGTCTCGTCTAGTACTGACGAATCTTTGTCTGAGAGAAGTAACGCGGCATCTGTCACCACTCTCACGGAATCTCCAGAGTTCCCACTACCGGCGAGAACAGAGCTGGCAGCGAGTTCAGCCATAGCCCCTCTGACGAACTCCGCCGACCATCCATTTGCTTCAAGCCGCTGTGGCTGCTCGTTGATAAATTCACGAAGCCTTGATGCTATGTTTGGACGGAGTTCGTCCATTGTCGGTTTTGCGTAGGCAACAAGAATGTCGCGAAGACCGCGGTGGATAGACCACGACAGAGAAGACCAAGGCAAGCAATCCAATGTATGTTCCAGTATTTCTTGTTCCATCGTTGGAACAAGCATTGATACTTGAATGTTTTGCTCTGTACTCGGCAAACGAAGATCAATGGCACCAGACGGACGCTCTTCATCCATTCGTCGGGCCAAGAGAAAGTCGGCGTCGTAGACCTTGCCGCCCATAAGATTGTATAGATGCCGGCTTCCATGTGCGCCTGGAAATCCTTTGCGCTGATACTCTAAGATCCAGGTTGCAGGTGGCTTTCGACCTGGGAAATCACATTGGAATGACGTCCCGTCGGCCGAGGTGATGACTCCGGCCATCATCTGGACACATTTGCTCACTCGCACCCGGAACGTCAAAGGATAGACGTCTGTCGATGTGTCATGAGAGTCGTGAGGGTGGAATTGCACGACGGCAGCGGCACCCAGAGGCCATTCGATATAGAAGTGCCCACAATATGAGGCATACGAGGCCCGGTGACCGCTAGCGTCACTGTAGCGGAACATTGTTCGGCCATTGCAGAGAGCAAGGATCGTGATCAGCGTAGTGCGGGAGATCACGATGCACGTTGTCGAACCATGACGTGTGAGAGGACGAGCCTGCAGAGATGCCCATGACTGTAGTTCTTGACGGGGGCACAAATCGGGTTCAATAGTAATTGTGCAGGAAGTCGGCCTTTTCTCCAATGCTCAGTAGCAAGTTCGGTCTTAGTGTCTGCCCCGTAGACTGGAGACGGTGCTCGCTGGTGAAAAATCGCAAGAAGAGCGGTCCAGCTGGCTTTTCCAGGCTTCTCCAGCGGGAGTCTGCTAACGCCGATGACATTGAAACCACGGAACCCATCAGTGAGCTTTGCATACATGAAAGGACCGATCGGTGTGGGCTGCGCAAGTCGATTCCATGCCTTCTTGGGCTGACGCTTGATCCAATTTCCCAAGTGCTCCTCAGTCCGAGAGGTATGGTATGGGTCTAAACGGTCCTGGATAGCACTCGCTTGAGTGATGAGAGAACCAAGTCCGACTGCAGTGACCATAAAGGATAGCTGTAATGGTTGAAGAAATGGTCAGTAAATATCTGCGACCGCAGCATCGTCTACTCACAAACAATTTTAGGGGGCCAACCCAATATGTGTCACGAGCCATGTGCCGCATCGTATCACAGCCTGATGGGGGTGAGGTGCGGCGATGCTCGTCGTGAGTTTTGGGGGAAACTCTTTTCGACTTGTCTTAAGATGTGTGGCTGCAAATCGACTGTGCTGGCGGTGAATCAAGCCAGTGAGCAGAGAGGAATAAGCGACTCGGTGATGCACGCTGCATAGTGGCGAATCCTCCAAACAGAACGAGTCGTCGAGGAAGTGGGCGGAACTCCAGACGTAGGCAAATACCACTCGCCCAAAGATGCTGATGCTTGACAACCCTTTGTAGAGAATGACTGTCTTCGCAGTAGAGGTCATCCAGGACTCAGCAGTCTGAAAGGCCAAAGAACATAACTTATACTGAGACTATCAATCTACTTAAAAGGAGACTGTCTACTCGAGGGTGAGTCTCTATCGTTGTGGCTAGTAGGGTGTTGAAATAGCCTAGGGCTGTGCGAATATCCTCGGCTCGAAGCTCAAAACACCGACCATCTGTGTACTGTGACATGCCACACTCCATGCTCTCCGTGATCATGCTGACAAGATGCCACAGGACGCTTCACCAGTCAGCATGTATGACTGTTCTCTACCAGCCAGCCTCCAAGAGGTTCTGATCCCCTCACTGCCAGCCTCGGGCTACTACGTTCCCAACTTCATCACGGAGACTGAAGAGGCACATCTCCTACAGAAAGTAAGTTCTCCGGCTTTTGGCTTCTCATTTCTACGACACTAGCAGCTCCTGACCTTGCCAGATCAACAATGCTCCCTTGCCAACTTGGAAAACCCTCGCCCATCGCCGTCTTCAAGCCCACCCATCGCCCCTCTCGCCCACGAACACCCTCCTCGCCGCCCCCCTCCCCACATGGCTGCGAGATCCTGTAGTACCGCGCCTACTGTCCCTGCCTGTCGATTTAATCGACAGCATTTTCCATAATTCTCCACACGGCACACCAAATCATTGCTTGATCAATGAGTATTTGCCCGGTCAAGGCATCCACGCCCACGAGGATGGCGACGCCTACTACCCTGTTGTAGCAACTGTGAGCTTGGGGTCGCATATTATTCTGGATATCAAGGCGAAGAAGAACAATACAATGGGCGAAAAGTCGCAGGATATGCCACGCTGGAGGGTATTGCAAGAGCCAAGAAGTCTACTGATTACGACTGGAGAGCTTTACACTGACTGTTTGCACGGTATCAGCGAGGTGAAGATTGACGAGGTTCTGGGCGAGAGCAGCATTGCCAACTGGAATTTGTTGGGAGACAGGACGCCTTTTGCAGGAGGCCAGGCGGCTAGGGAGCCGAGGGTTAGTTTGACTTTCAGGGATGTGATACGGGTTAAGAAGCTTGGGAAAGCTTTCGGCATTCTAAACAGGTGAAGACACAAGGGCACCAACTGGTCGGAATGGGAAACTTTCTGCTCTTCCTTACATAAGACTTGGCGGAATATTTGGCCCAAGCTCGTTGAATGCATCTCAGTACAGGCCAGGTACTATGATCCATCTGTGAGCCACCGCATTTTTCCCAAATTTCCGCTCATACCACTTTTTACTCGTCGTCGCACTCACCGTCAAGTTAGCTGATACAAAGACAAATGCAGTAAACATTGTCCTGTTGATCAAAGCACCCTTAGGCGCAGCTACGAAAGCCAAAGACAAATAGATCAGACATTCCATTGTGTAATGAGGGCAGATAAAGCTCTGAAATATAGGGTGTACCGGGAGTGTGTACTTTGGTAACGAAGCGAGATAAGCATGGCAGTCATGCTGTACACCGGACGCCAGTATAAAGATTGGAATGCCGATGATTGCTTTTAGAGATAGTGCGGAGAGGGAGATGTTGGAGGTGATCGGTTCTGCGGAGAGCAAGGCGTCTGGAGACGGTTGCTTAGTCAAGATTGATGAAAGCCATCAGTGCTTCGCGAATGATACTACAGGGTGATGCGACATACCTGCTCCTTCGATCCAACACGAAACACCTAGAGCCAGATAAAATGCTATGCCAAGCAGCCAATGGACGAACCACATCTTCGACCTGGATGACTTGACGGGAAAACTAGTCTCGAGAAGCCTCCGAATTCCTTGTACGGTCACAAGAGACCAAGTCAAGACAACCTGATCCACTGTCATGCCGTTGGCTTGAGTGTTGGGCCTTACGCTCCGACATAGCATCTCCAGCACAGAACCTTTCGCAAGAATTTGCACCCCCCAGAACAGGGAAGAGCACACGGAGATAATATAGAAATGTTGGAACCATCTATGAGGCACCTGTATAGCATCTAAACGCTCGAGAAGCCATTCCAGTGTCTTACTCGCGTTTGCGTTAAGTTTCTCAGCAGGTTTGTTGGTTTCATGCTGACACTGATCACTATTCTTGACTGGTATTGCTCGCGAACCGTATGCAATGTAGCGTGCCCTGACAGCAGGAATGCTGTTCAGCAACAAGACCTGGACATGTAAACATCAGAGATGAAGTACGCCTGTGGAATAGACCCTTTACCGTAGAAGCAGACAGAATGAAGAATGCCTGCAAAAGCAACGAAGGGTCTTGGAAGTACTTTGGGTGATTGGACAATGTCTCATTTATGCAACCTTGGCATAAAAGCTCGGTCCAGCCTTTCATCTCTCGATGGTTCCTTAGACAAAGCCTGATCTTCGAGCAATTTTTATATCTTCAACAGCGCTACATAAGAAGAGAAATCATACGCAGCCATTCCAGGGAATATCGAGGGCTTCGTGAAGGACTTTCGGAGGATCTTGGCATGGCTTGGCAAGATCAATTTGACCAAAAAAATCTTGCTGATGCACTAGGACAACTTGGGACTAACGCATTACACGTACCTAAGGTAAGGTACCTTACTTTATGTTATTAGAGGCATTTACCTAGTTCGTATTAGATTCGATTTCTAATGGCGCTGATACAATAGGGACTATCAAAATTACTTCTGATTATCGAATAATGGACTTTCTAAAAGTCTAATAAGCTACTTGTTGTTTGATAGCACCCTACTATTAGATAGTAACTTTCTGAATCCATTGAGTAATAGACTCGTAACTGGAATACCGTGCTAACTACATTCGATCTAGGGCTACTAGATTCTTAACTTGAAGATATTCTTGAAGAGGGGTCGGCCGTTATATCTTCCTCTTCCTTATTATAGCGACCATGCCTAGTGCGTTTCCCGGTCGTATTCAACAATGTCTGCATCACGAGATCCTCCTCCGAGTTAGAGGTGCTGGAGTCGCTGCTGTCTAGGGCCTCGATCATCTGCTTGGTAAATAGATGTCTGATGTCTGACGCAGGCGTCTGTAAGGGCGCGTTTAGGCGTCTTTCTGGCCATGGCGTTACTGGAGGATTGGGCTTGATAAAGGATAGCGCGTTATATGTATAAGAGGCTACTCTAGAGCGTGTATATGATACGAAATAAGTGACTTATGGAGTGTACTTGCTGGTTCAGAGTAGCAAGTCATAAGTCGATGTGATTCTACTTATGGTAGGGCTGAAAATAGGGCTACAGGGGTAAATAAGTGGATTATTCGATAATCAGAAGTAATTTTAATAGTTTCTAATGATATTACGGTGCTTTTTACTTTCTTTTTACTCAGCTCTTACTTCTACCTCTACTTTTATTTCTACTTCTACTTCTATCTCTACTTCTATTACTACTATTACTTCTACTTTTATTTCTATTACTATTATTACTACTACTACTATTACTTCTACTTCTATTATTACTATTACTACTTCTACTTCTATTACTACTACTATTACTACTATTACTATTATTACTATTACTACTACTATTACTATTATTATTATTATTACTATTACTACTACTATTATTACTATTACTATTACTATTATTACTTCTACTACTATTACTACTACTACTTCTACTTCTACTTCTACTATTATTACTATTACTTCTATTATTATTATTATTACTACTATTATTACTATTATTACTTCTACTTCTATTACTATTATTACTATTACTACTATTACTTCTACTTCTACTATTATTATTACTACTTCTACTTCTACTACTATTACTACTACTACTACTATTACTTCTACTACTATTACTATTATTATTACTATTACTATTACTACTTCTACTTCTATTACTATTATTACTACTACTACTATTACTTTTACTTCTATTATTATTATTACTACTTCTACTTCTACTATTATTACTACTACTTTATCTATTATTACTACTACTACTTCTACTTCTACTTCTACTACTATTACTACTTCTACTTCTACTTCTACTTCTACTTCTACTTCTACTTCTATTTCTACTCGTATTATTTAGAAGTAAGTTCTTTAATAGAGCGAGAATATTAATAAATTCTTTTACTTAGTCGA